CGAGCGGAAAATATCCGTGGATTCGTTCTTGAAGATGACAGAGGAAAACGGATCGTTCACCAACGACACGGTTCAGTTCCAGCAAAGAATCTCGAACCGGGCCGGTTTAGGAGACCAAACTTATCTGCCACGTGGCATAACCTCGAAACCCCCCAAGCTTAACATGTCCGAGGCACGTGCAGAAGCTGAAGCCGTTATGTTCGGAGCCTTGGATTCTCTCTTCGAGAAAAGCGGAATTAAACCGGCCGAAGTCGGAATCTTGATCGTAAACTGCAGCTTATTCAATCCGACACCGTCATTATCGGCGATGATCGTGAACCATTACAAGATGAGAGAAGACATCAAAAGCTACAACCTCGGAGGAATGGGTTGCTCCGCCGGATTAATCTCCATCGATCTCGCCAACAATCTCCTCAAAGCAAACCCTAATTCTTACGCTATCGTCGTCAGCACGGAAAACATAACCCTAAATTGGTACTTCGGTAACGACAGGTCAATGCTCCTCTGTAACTGCATCTTTCGAATGGGCGGTGCAGCGATTCTCCTCTCTAACCGCCGAAAAGACCGATCAAAGTCAAAGTACGAGCTAGTCAACGTCGTACGGACACACAAAGGATCAGACGACAAGAACTATAATTGCGTGTATCAGAAGGAAGACGAAAGAGGAACAATCGGTGTCTCTCTAGCTCGTGAGCTTATGTCCGTAGCTGGAGACGCTCTGAAAACGAACATCACGACGTTAGGACCGATGGTTCTTCCGTTGTCGGAACAGTTAATGTTCTTGATTTCGTTGGTTAAAAGGAAGTTGTTTAAACTCAAAGTGAAGCCGTATATTCCAGATTTCAAGCTAGCTTTCGAGCATTTCTGTATTCACGCAGGTGGTAGAGCGGTTCTTGACGAGGTTCAGAAGAATCTTGATCTCAAAGATTGGCATATGGAACCTTCTAGAATGACTTTGCACCGGTTTGGTAACACTTCAAGTAGCTCATTGTGGTATGAGATGGCTTATACCGAAGCTAAGGGTCGGGTTAAAGCTGGTGATAGACTTTGGCAGATTGCGTTTGGATCGGGTTTTAAGTGTAATAGTGCGGTTTGGAAAGCGTTACGAGCGGTTTCGACGGAGGAGATGACAGGTAATGCATGGGATGGTTCGGTTGATGAATATCCGGTTAAGATTGTGCAATAGTGATTGGTTGGACCGGATATGTGGAGTACAGTATCATTGGTTTGATTATGTAATTGTGTTCATCTTGATATTAAAAATATTTTTTTTATGTAAGTTTGTCGAATGAAAGATTATAATTTAATTAATTTATCGATGTTGTGTTTGGTATACGTTAGTTGATTCTTTTGACACTTTTGGTAAACCAGAAATCTATAAATTTGCCCAGAAAACTCAAAAGAGCCAAACAAAAGTCGTATCTTCGTAAATCCACTATAATTGCGTTCACACCCATATAGATAACTTGCAAAATCACACAGATTACGCCACTTTTAATTAACCACACCTTTTTGTTTGTTTGCGAAATTCCTCTTTAGATTCATTCTTTTTTTTTCATTTTCAAAGATTTAACCATACTAGAACTTTTAAATTTAAGGTTTAACCAAGTAAGTCCAACAAAAAATTTAAGAATACAAATTACAAAACAGAGATACAAAATTCTCTTGGTTCTTCAAAGTCTCATGATCTATAATAACTTAGTAAGGTCGGTTACCTTCGTCCTGGTCCTACACTTGAACCATTAGTCCGGTCAACAACTTTTCTAGGTCGAGGTGGTTGAATAATAATCTGCATATACTTGGTTGCTGCTTACTGCCTACATATAACCACCAAAAAAGCAAAAAGCATTTAATTAAAAAACCTCATGTCACATTTGTCATGTGTTCTTGATATATAATTAGTGATTACAATAGATTTTTTTTTGTTACTGTTTGACAGTTTAAACATGTATTAGTAAAGAACCACATGGACTTACAAAACACAACCGACTCATACGTCCATCCGGAAGGAGCATAGGGATCCCCATTGGTATTGGCCCTCTTCCATAGATCATAGGCTGCTTAATGCACAAATTTAAACCAAAAGAACTTTGTCACTTTAATTTGTTGAATTCTTAGATGAATTGTTTCTGTGGATTTTTTACCAAATGCGGAATGCGTCAAAGGGAAGAGTAGTAGTTTCAGCTCCGGTAAAAAGAATAAGAAAGTTCATGTTTCCTTTCAGTTTGTGGTTTAGCAAACACAACTAATAATTGATCTTTTCGAATGAATTTGTTGAGAAAATATGCATATGTCTCGAAACCCACAAAAAAAAAGAGAAGGTATTTAGGAAGGCTTTTATAAAGAGAAAGCGTTGAGAGAGAAGGTATTTTTAAGAAGGTTTCCTACCTTTTTAGGAAGCTTCCTAAACAAGTAAAAATCTTTCCTAAACTTTTTTTAGGAAGGTTTTCTACTTGTTTATAAAGTTGTTTAGGAAGGCATTCCTAAACATGTGAATTGATGCGGATTGGTGTACAACGTCTCTCAACGGAGGGGTATCATGGATTGTCCATGATCATTCTGGCAAAGCTCTGTTCCATAGCCGACGCTCTTATGCCAGCCTCAATTCTAAGCTGGAAACTGAATTATGGAGCTTCATCTGGGCGATTGAATCTCTAGCATCTCTGCGTTTTCGTTGGGTCATCTTCGAAGCTAGTTCTGTGCAAGCGAAGGATGCTCTGCTCCATCCTCATGCTTATCCTCTGGTACGAGAGCTTATTGAGCGAATTCATGTGTTGCTTCAACAGTTCGATTTCTGGAGCCTCTCCCATACTACGGTCACTGGTAATCGTATTGCTGTAGACGTGGCCAAGAGTGTCACTCGTGACGGTAGGTACCAGTCTTACATTGCCCGTGCAGGTCCACAATGGTTCCAACATATGATCATTTCAGATGCATTGGAGCCTTAACAGTCACCTTCATCTTCTATGTGAGGCTTCTAAATTGGAGTAGGATGGGGTGCACTGATGGCTGTCCACTCGTGACACAGGGTGTGTCCCCTGTTTATTTCTCTGTTGCGTAAGATGTCTACTGGCATCATTTTTTTTTTTTGTGAATTATTTTCTTGTAAGAGGTGATCTCCTCATAATCTATGTTTATGGATTTCTTTCAATTACAAAGCGTTAAAAAAAAAAAGTGAAAATCCTTCCTAAATTTATTTTTAGGAAGGTTTCCTACTAGTTTATAAATGTGTTTAAAAAGGTGTTTAGGAAGCTTTTTTAAATAAGTGAAAATTTTTCCTAAATTTATTTTTAAAAAGATGTTTTACTTGTTTAGGAAGGTGTTTAAGAAGGTTTTCCTAAAAAAGTGAAAATCTTTCCTAAACTTTTTTCAAGAAGGTTTCCTACTTGTTTAAGGTGTTTAGGAAGACCTTCCTAAAAAAGAAAAAAGATTTCCTAAAATTTTTTCAAAAAGTTTCCTACTTGAAGGTGTTTAGAAAGACATTCCTAAACAAATGAAAATCCTTCAAAAACTTATTTTTAAAAAGGTTTCTTACTTGTTTAGGAAGATGTTTAGGAAGACTTTCTTAACAAGTGAAAATCCTTCATAAACATTTTTTTAAGAAGGTTTCCTACTTATTTAGGAAGGTGTTTAAGGAGGCCTTCCTAAACAAGTGAAAATATTTCCTAAACTTTGTTTAAGAAGGTTTCTTACATGTTTAGGAAGGCCTTTCTAAACAAGTGAAAATCCTTCCTAAACTTATTTTTAAAAAGTTTTTTTACTTGTTTAGTAAGACCTTCCTAAACAAGGGAAAATTTTTCCTAAATTTTTTTCAAGAAAGGTTTCCAGATCTTCCTAAACAAATGAAAATTTTTCATAAAACTTTTTTTAAAAAGGTTTCCTACTTGTTTAGGAAAATATTTAGGAAGGTCTTCCTAAACAAGTGAAAATCCTTCCTAAACCTTTTTAAAAAAGCCATTCAATTTAAGTTGTACAAAAAAGTTAGTTAAAAAAAAAAGCCATTCAATTTATTTAAAAGCCCATTAACGGTCCTAGAAGTTACTTAATTATAGAAGTTCACCGTTTAGGCCCATTAATGTATTTTTAATTGTTTTGAGGGCCCGTTTAAAATATGGGCCATACGGCATCTTAAAACCGGCAATCCTTGCTGTTCTTATATAGAGGACACTAACTACATGCCGTTTTTGGAGTTTTTTCTCCCTTTTGAAATGATGAGAAATTATTGGTTTCTTCAACATTATCATTGTACTCTTTTGCAGTTTTGCTCAAACATTGTTGACCTGTTAATAATCACAATTTCTATCTTGACCAGTTATAGTTTATAGACATTAAGATATAATAATTTCGAATTACAAAAATAATAAAAAAAGACTTGTATAAAGAAATAGATATTTATCAGAGGTGATACGGAATTGTGTGTAAAAGTGAAAAGACAAGACTTGTGATGTTGGGAATCATGTCACATGGGCTGATGTCTTCTGCTCGTGTCTCAAGTTGCAGCTTTTATTACTTTTTTTAGCTGTTCTTGAAAGATTTGAGAGTCTCACTTTTGCATCAAAATCATAAAAAAAACGTAAATTCGGGGTGCTAAAGTGAAAGATTCAAAAACTTTTATGAGTTTATCCAAAAAAATTTCTGTCAAAGGCCAAAAAGTAAGGATCTAAAAGCCATTTTAGGAAAGAGAATATAATTGCACATGTCAC